TCATGAAGTTCTCTGCAACAACAACGGAGATTGCTCTGTTTCTTCTTCTTCTAATATCCGTCCAAACAATTTCCGAATAATTCACAGATAAAACCGGTGAAATCCCACCGGTTCCATCTTCTCCTTCACTAGATCCTCCTCCACCTCCACCAAGCGGTCCAAGCCAATCCGCTAACGACCAGAACACCATGTTTATGCCTGAATACAATTCCTCCGATGAGATCACTATGCTATCTTCTCCTGAACCAAAGACATAAGCTGAAAAAAAAAAAAAAATGTTACTATGATTTATCATTGTTGTCTTCTATCATTTGATAAAAAAAAAAAAGACAATACCAACTTTAAAATGATAGAAGTCTCGTTATGATATGCAATATGAAACTTCAGTTTATCTAAAAATATAAACATTTTGAAGTAATATTTCTTGACAATTATTACAATTACCACTTCGAACAAATTATCGATCAAAAGTTCAAAACTAACATCTTTTTTTCACACATACATACGTCAAATAAAATAAAAAATGAAGGTAACGAAATAAAAAGCCCAATAGTTACAAATAAAGCCCATACATTGAAGAAGCCCACGATTTCTCATAAGAAAAATATAAGTACAGTCGCAGGCGACTAATCGAATACCGGAGAAAATGGCGAAGCCTTTGGGTACTACGGGAGAATTTTTCCGGCGAAGAGACGAATGGAGGAAACATCCGATGCTTTCGAACCAAATGAGACACGCTCTTCCCGGACTTGGCATCGGCGTCGCCGCCTTCTGCGTTTATCTCGTCGGTGAGCAGATCTTCAATAAAGCTTCGGTTCCTTCAAAATCATCTCACCAACATCAGAATCAGCCTGCTCCGTCTCACTAAAGAGCATCGATCTTCTTCGATCAGGTAACAATCGTTGGTGATTGATTTAATCTTGTGGACTAATTTTGTAATCTGCTTCATTTGATCGGAAAATTCGGAATACAGAGAGATGTAGTTTTAGCTTGATTAATTTGATCTATGTTTAAATTAGCTTTAACATTCGCTATTAAAACCTGATTTCTCTGCTAATCTTGTTGAATATTGAAAGATTGTGCCAAAAAAAAATCCTTTGTGAAATGTTTTTGTAATGTGGTACTATTTTTTTTTTGTTTACATTTTGCTATCTTTGAGATTTGGCATTGTTAACACCAGATTAAGTTAGTGAAATCTGTTTTGAATCTTGATCAAGATTGTTAAAAGATTTACTTGCATACATTTATCCAAATATTGTCTGTCTTAGTTCTTGCATGACTAAAGTGGAGATGAAAAGAAGCACTTTGAAAGATAAGATAGGTTTGGAATTGGCATATCTTTAGAAAATGTTGGCATTTTTTTCAATCATTACATAAACTCTCGTTTGGTTTTAAGTTGGTATGAGCTTATTTTTTAAGCATGCAAGTTTAGTGCTATCTCTTCAAGTGATTCTCTTTCTCTGGAATGTAACCTATAGTTATTACAGAATGTAGCTCCTACGCACGCCTTTGTGTTAGCGTTTGTATAAGCAAAGTTGAGTGTAAATTGAAAATAACTCCATACGAATTAAGGTTGAGTAAGAACAATTCAAAAGAACTAAAAATTCACAAGCTTTAGTTTTGCTTGTAAGAGCATAGGCAGTCGCTTCCTAAAGAGTAGTCAGTTTTCTGTGTGTGTTATGTGCGATCGATCGCCTCTGCGTGTCTGTTTCGAAGTGTAGTTTGTATGAGTTCTCTTACACTAAAAACTTGTTGTCTGATTGCAGATGCTTGAAACAGTGGCACAAGACTGAACTCAGATTTCTTCTCAGTTACTAGCTTTCTTGGATTGTCTTAATAATCTGCTAAAAATATTGGACACAAATCAAGGATTTGATTTCTATTGAGGTTTATAGCTTGTTGGCTCAAAAATTCTCTTTATATCCACAAGTTTGTATTTCTTTGACACTGATACTTCTTTTTCCGACTGTCTTGCTAAACTAAAACTGCGTCGTTTTGGTGAAGGTAACTTTCAGGTGGTTTTCAAAATGGGCCTGTACTTAAACTAATAGGCCCAGATTGTTATTTTATTTTCCGAATGGAATTTCAAAGGGGTGGTGTTTATAAATGATAATTGAAGATATTATTTCGTATGAATTTGCACTCTATCATGTTGGAAAAAGAAATTGAGTGATGGATATATCGTCGCAGTATATAGTCAGAAAA